TATAAAAAAATCAAATCGGCAAGTTTAAATTTACGCAAATCAGCCTCAACAGTGTCAATAGATGGGGGGATTTGGGAAGTTTACTCTAGTATAGGTTAGCAAACGTCAGCTGAACTAGCTCTGCTATAGGCTAAGGGTTCCAGGGTCACAGCGGCACATCCCCACCCAGAAATTCCCAAAGTATCCCCCCCCCCGGGGGAAATGGTAAGGTACGGTACGCTTCGGTGGAACATCAAACGAGTTTAATCAAGCCGTGGTTCATATTTTGGAGAGACGTGGTCGAGGCAAAAACCCCATGGCGAGACCAAACGAGCCTGGCATACCGCAATAGCGTACCAGAAAGGTACGATTATGAATTCACCAACTGACAAATGGACCATTTTACCGATCTCACGTAATATCAACAATTTTTTCGTAGTTTTATTTAGACAAAAAACGCCCTCCATAAATCAACATATCATGCAGATTTTAGTAAACAAGCCAAGAATCTATTGGAAAATCATTAAAATTTGCGACCCCAAAATTGCCATTTTTTGTAAAGAAATGATCGCAACGATTGCCCCTTAGCATTGCAGGACACTATTGCCAGCCACCTTAAAAGTACTCAAGCTAATTCGACTCTTTTTTTCTTACCTTCCACTGTACGTCCACTGAGGAACACAAGAGCAAGTGTTATGAACCACGATGAATTTCCCATTCTTGCTATAATCTTCAAACTCTCTCAACTTCAAACCAAAAAATAACGGATCATAGTCATATATTTATAGATTATAAGTAAAAAGTAAATTATGAAATCCGGACAGACCACTGAGCTATTGCTGTACAAGGACTCTCTGCGTCTGGGTTGTGCTGGGAGAATACACTTAGCGAAAGATAATCAAAAATGGAAAATCTCGTCTGCGGCAATGCTCTAAAATGACAGAGTTAAGCAGGATTGTTTCCTTCTTTATCGACGTATTCTAAAATTTGTAAGCATACAGATATTGCATGCTCTTTTAAGGTAAGCGTTCAATTTACTTGAATTTAAACATCCAGCTGGCTTATACTTATGCACTTTTCTGTTCCTATGGCTAATCGGAAGCTCGCAATAAACTCCCGCTACGAACTTATTTCTCAAAACCTTGAACAGTGATGTTTTATATATTTATGTGGCCCATTTCAGCAATGTCCTGGCAGGATAAAGATTATGTGTGAAGTGCGGAGCGCAATCAAGCATAACGAGATGATTAACATCGGAGTTGTTTGTTTTATTTCCATCCTCAATCTGTGATAGTTTATTTCGTAAAGCGGCTGTTAAAATTCGCATAGCACAATATTTTCAACTTACACAAACATACGCGGGTTTTTAAGTGCTCTTGAGATGTCAACTAGAGTGCCTTAAACTATGACCACACGACCGCAATGATATTGTGCGTTTGGCAACAATATTAACTTTTGGATCACTGCAAATTTAATCTTCTTACTTTTGGTAGGTCTCGGCTAAAAATTGTTAAATGATGACGAAAAATTTCATTTTCTGTTGCAAATTTGTTCAGTGTTTGAGCCAACTTAATGCGGACTTTCATTTGTCGTCTTGGAATGAACAGAATGTATCTATGCAATTCAGCCCAAAGTTCGCTCACTTCCAAATGTTCATTTTGTGGGCACGATAATAAAAGAAATGGAAAAACCAGCTTCGAAACCTAGCTAGAGTTAAGGAGAAGTATCACAACTGACTGCGGTATACTGAAGCGAAAGAGTGACGTCATGCCAAATCAGTTGCCACCAAGAGTTTTGGACTTTCAAGTAATCTTGCCGAATTCAGATCGTATATTTTTCATTTGTCAGACCCAAGGATTCTTAATTGAAATAAAAAGATTCCTCGGCTCCTCAACAAACTTTGAAAGGCCATCATTTGACCTCTTTCATGAAATCCTTTCTGTGAGCAGATCGGTCATGCTCAACTAACTTTCAGTCGACTCATAGATTTGATTTTCAAATGTTTGAAACATTTCAAACGCGCATTGCAGAAAAAGCAAAAAAAAAAAAAAAAA